TTTAATGCAATATTTTAAAATATTTTGCAAATATTTACAAAATATTTCTGGAATATTTTATTAAAATATTTAAAAAAATAATTCACATAAAATATTTTACATTATTTGAGCAGTTTTCTGTTATTTGATTGCAAATGTAAAATTCTTTAATAGTCTTGCTCTTTCTTATTAGGTGTAAACGTAAATCAATCATGTCAAAAAATCTTAACTACAATTGCAAAACTATTTTTTTGCTGAACGGTTATATTCTATCGATCGCGGGCATGTGATCGTCGCGGATTTGTTTTTTCCGAATAAAATCACGCATTGCGCTAGGTATTATATTCTCAGTTTTCTCGTATAACGAAGCCATTGTACATACATATTGTACATACAGCATATAGTAGTTATGTACCCCCAGTAACACGACGCTTTATCGCATTAATGTATCGATTGTTATAAATTCTATGCTTCTTATTGTGTACAATAAATGATTAATAAAATATATAATTTTATGCATTAATAAATGGTTATAAACTTTTTGCGCTGAAATAATACGCACGGTGAAAGTCGGAATAAATTTTATATTAATCGATGTATTTTTTTATTAATGTTTAATTAGTGTTATGAAATATTAAATAATTTTATTTTTCAGTAATATTTTTAAACATTATTTTTTCTCTTTGTTGTGATGAACAATATTAATTAAATATCTTTAGACTTTATAATAATGAATTTTGTAAATACCGCGATAAGAATTTTCATAATATACTTTTATAAAATTTTATGCACTCTCTCTCTCTCTCTCTCTCTCTCTCTCTCTCTCTCTCCCTTCCCCCCTCTCTCTTCTCCTCCCCCCCTCTCTCTCTCTCTATAAATAAGCAACATCTACAGTACTGTTGTTGAGTGTAAAATTCATTAAAATAAGTAATTACGTATTGTGGAAGTCGCGTGCACGAGCGTATTTATTTGTATGAAGTCGATGATATGTTTCATTTACTTCATATCATAGGAATTTATTTTTTCATATCGGTTGCGACAATCGCAATTAATTTTACCGCATTAACAGTTCCCTTTTACATTCATAGCGATTGTAATAATAGTAGTAGATTGTAATAATAGTACTTTTCTATTTGCTTTAAAATATATCCTAATTTTGACAATAAATTTTATATTTCTTTTTTTGGAACTGCTTATGCATTACATTTATAGACATTACATTATATGTTCAACACGCGGATATATATATGTCTCTTTGCATTTCATTTCAGGAAGTATTTCTCGGTTGAATCACTTAACGTAGTATCGATTTAATTCAGTACAGTATCAACATGAAAACTCAAACTTAGCGACATAACTTGACTTGCATGAAACCCAAACTTTTATTTGACTATCGACTCTTAAATAGAACTCCAACTCAGGCAGATATGATCTTCCGAGAGGAAGAAACTTTACAGTCGCGAAGAGCTACGACCCAGAAGCATAAAGTTGAAATTTTATGCGAAGATTCTTCTTCGCGGTATTATATGCCGGCCAAATTTCATTTGAGTGTTTGCACAGAGTACAGAAACTGGTGTGGAGTTTTCGGCTTTGTGGCGCTAGTTCTAAAGCCACGGTAGTATATCACGTTCCAAGCTTTCTAAGCTTCCGTGAATGGCGCGGAATTGACCTACAGAAGCTGTCTTTCTATGAATTTTCCATCTCCATACATTGGACACATTCTGTAGGGTAATTCCGGTATATACCCTGCACCTCAAAAACTTAATTTATTAAGTATTATTTATTATGTTTAAAGTAAACGAACTATATCAGTAAAAACTTGGTACTGTCTATTATGAAAAAAATATTAGAAATCCGAAATATTTATTTTTCATATTAAAAAATAAACTTTTTGAAACCCTTACATTATTGCCATATATCCCATAAGGGTGGGATATATGGCTACTCATAAGGGGAGAGAGATGTATGTATGGCTCATAAAAAATTTACAAATAATGCATATAAAT